TGACCCAGCCGAAATGTGGAATAAAGTTGTTATTTTTGTTTTCGGTTGGTTAGTTCACCAGTTCTATATTAAATTAAATCCAAAGGGGGAATCTAGTAGACTTTTTGTTTTTAACTGTAGCTGTCACAAGCTGTCAAGTGCTGCTTTGCTGGGCTGCGAAATAAACAAAACACTACTGGCTAAATACAGGGATGAGCCCTAACTTCCCGTTTCAGTGGAAATTACGTCAACATACTGAACAACGCTGTGTGTTTCAAGGCACTTCAGTAGGACTTTGAAATCTGTTCAGTGTAATACAGCCTTAACATGCTACATTCAGAGTCTTCTGAAGTCATACGATAGATTTGTATAGGGAACATACTGAAATTTAAGTCGTTATTCATCGTTGTTCATAATCTTCAGCTAAAATGTCAAACTGACCTGTCACACAAAGTCTGACATCATTACAGTGCTCCCAAAACCCCACTGGTTGTTGCATGTCATAACTGAACGTGGTGTGCCAGTTTAAATATGTGGAATGGAAAATGCCGTTTGAAAGCTGCAGTGGAGTTTTTCCGTCTTGGTCACTGTTTTCCATAAAATGTTGAGATATGGAAAAGAGCTTTATAACAATCTCTTGAAAATTCTGCTTTGGTGATCCTTGGGAAAAAAAACAGAGCATTTGAGTTTAGGATGACATAACGGAGAGTAAATAACAGAATTTTCATTTATGGCTGAACCTTTAATGTTTTGTCTTCAAATTAGACACTGTTAATGATGGAGGCCCAGCATTCATATTCTAAAAACAGAGCAGTGCCATCATTACAGCCAATGCTTTGGCTACAGAAGGCCTCTCTCTCCGCTCTCTTCCCTGTGGAATGCCCACCCACCAGAGGGACCAGGGGAAGGGAGGGCCCGTGTCTGGAGCTTTAGCCTAACCTGAGAGAGGTAGACTGGGCACGGAAAAGAAGCCGGGGCCCCTGGGGACCTGTAGGTGGGAGCAGCCAGCTAGTGCGCTCCATCCCCTTGGACCGAGCTCTAATTGGAGCTGCTGGGCGAGCTGGGCCAAGTTCCCTGGGAACGGGGAGAGCCTGAGGGAGGGAGGGAGAGTGGGAGGAAGTGAAGGATGGACAGATAGAGCAAAAAGAGGGGAGGGAGGTTTAAAAATAGAGCAGGCAGATTAAGGAGCATCTGAGAGCGGTGCAGGGGATCGGAAAATCCGCCCTGCATGCCAGAGCTGACCAGACCTTCAGGGCATAAAAGCCAGTTCTTCGCCATTGCGTAGCAGGGCACGGCATAGCACAGCCGCCCCCTGGCATACGTTTGCCCGGTCGTCGCGTGGCATGCAGCCCAGACTGGGGCAGCGCTAAGAGCAGCGTCAGCCTGAAATGATGACGATCCCCAGCTAAGCTTTCACACAACAGGTGGAGAGTACAGACACCTGTGGGAGATCGCACAGACTCAGAAGAACTGTCTTACACCTGGGTCCTGTGCACAGATGCACACCTCTTGTTGTGATATAAACTTTGCTGTGATAAAACAACATACAATTATATTAAATAATTGTACACAGTTTAATATATTATTTATAATTTATATATATA